ACCGACCTTTCGTTCTTTACAAAATCCAAGTATGAATTAGCGGATCGCAATCCGCTTACTCCAAATGTAGTTATTACCTTCCCAAGGATAATCGACTTTTCTGTTTAATTTATAACTGATTTTTATTTATTTATTATCCTAATTTAAAAACTTTAGATTTTCCTAAATATACTAAATATATATAGTCGAAACACATGCATAACTACTGGCTACATAGCCACATACCGTATTCTTGTTTAAGTGTGGTCACACCATGCACATCTCGTGTGACCCCCCCTGTTATCAGGGTTCGCGTAACCCCGTTACGCAAACGGTAAAGTGCGATCCGCTGGACGCCTCATTAAAGTACGATGCAGGAGTCCACGATCGGTTTCATTCATACAGCATCAGCGAGCTGAGATAGCCCGTTAATGCCGGTTTCGTAATTATGTTGAGTCGGTTTACACCCTGTTTGATCAACCCGTCAATAGGCCACTTAAGTGATCAAGAAACAACATGGTTTACGTGTCACTTGTCTCATATAGAGACCAAAATTTTACCAGATTGTCTGATTGTCATGTATGCGAGCACAAAGGGCTTTGACCTTCTTCCGTATTTCCCTAGCCATTGTGTTGCGACTTGCTCTCAGCAAGTGCTTCATATTTTCTGACTATAGTTGACCGAAACAGGAAACAATAAATACTTGGTGCGTGCAGAGTTAATTGTCGCTTTCGCCCCTGTTCATTGACGCCACATTTCACCCGCAGTGTACTGACACTTAGAACCGAGACAATGTTTTGGGAGTAGCTCAGAAAACGCTGATAGCCGCGACAATTAGCAGGCGTTGACAGCGTTGACAGCGTTGACGGTGCCCATCTTGATGACCACTTTGCGCACCTCGCTGTCAGATGGTTTAGACAACCTTTGGACTCTAATCTGCTCGAGCGCAAAATGATATCGATGTCGATTTGGATATCGTCATTCAGAGCAGCGCCAGAAATGGATTTCGAAGAACTCCAAAGGCTTCTGCATTGTGCGTCTGCTTAATATGAGAGTCAAAATCGCCAATTAAGCGTCATCCCTCCTGAAACTTCTTATTGATTGCAGTATTTATTACTCGGTGTGGTCCTCAGCACAGTACCGTGGCCTCCCGATCAGTGACGAATGCCTGTAAACTGAGCCATCTTGCTGTACAAAACTTTTATCGTGGTGCGACAGCAAATCCGCTTATTCTTCTTACTCTAGACATCTTTCTCCAAAGGCATGCTCGAGAGCATCCTTTACCGAAGACTCCGGAGCATACATGACAACCGCGGGGTGAAAAGCAAAATCACTTTTGGATTCTTCGATCTATGATTGTTGCTTATGCTTGGTCGTCGAACTCGCATCGAGGCCATTTTATCAATTTTGACACGCTTACTCCAAAGCAGCATTTAACCGCATCGTTCTAGAAAACTAACAAGTTTTGGCCGAAATTTTATGTGGATAATTGCAAGTATGATGGTTGTCAATAATATTGATAATGATATTTACGCTACGTGGCTTTGGATATAGATGTCACGTATGCATGTGGGAGCACCATACTTTAATAATGAATTCCAACAATGTGCGCAGAAGGTACAAAGATGTAACTTCACAAAATGGCTAAGTATAGACCATTACATCATGCCCTACTCAGAATAAAAAAGTTTTTTGATACTTATGTAGGCCTTTTGGAGCAGCTCACGTATCGACCGGAATTGAAGTGATCAAGTCAATTAGCGCTTTCTTTGTCTTAGTGGCAAAGAACGTTGCCAGAATTCTTTGACGTGACCCCCGTTCTCTACCGAAATAGAGTCATGAGGTTCAACATAGATCATTCTTTTCGTAACGTCAGATCAACATTTTTACGATCCGACCCAGCCTATCGCAGCTGAGCAGAACTCTTGGCGAACGTTTGTTTGTCTTGAGACTAGAACAAGATGAAGTCTCTGCTTTGCCGAGTCGGCACTTGCAGGATTTTCAATCAGGACCGAGCAAAACTCAGTTCTGGTTGTCGTAGTGTTGCATTTAGCAACACTATAAGCGATTCTAATGTCTGCGGACTTCGTCTGAAGCATTACACTTTAGATCCTGGCGAAGATCCTTTGTGTCCGAGTCCGATGGATAGCCGCGCCGCCGCCTAACTATGTTAAAGCGTCGATTGTCCGGCTGCTTCTTTCCCACTATGTCGACTCGATCGATCTTCGTATCGGCAAACGCCTCGACCACCCATCACCGCTCTTAACAAGGCTAAAACTTCTCTTCTTTCTCTAGTTTGGGAGTTGAATCGAACGTGAAATGTAAATGAGCGACTTTAATGTGTTAGAGCGCTCATCAAGGGCAAATCGAGAAATTGTAGCAGCGTTACTCAGCGCTCGGCGCTTGAATATTGCTGGAAGAGCATTTCGAACCTTGTAGCAGGGCAGAGCTCAATACACGACTTCTGACTGGTGGTTCCGTCCAAAATTTGGCTTTAAAATCGCTTCAAGCTACGGTTTCAGCAGGTTCTATGATGAACCTGTTCGACTCCGGACGGTCAAATAATCTTGCTGACGAAAACCTGTTACGCACTGTTGAAGAGACGGGCTCTGCTTTCGGGGTATACCATGGTGTTAGCTATTTTTACCTTCAAGTGTTGAAATCAGGAAAGTGGTAATTCGTTGATATCACTCAAAGTTGTACGCCAAGAAGAACTTCCTGTGTTGATCTTTGGGGGCAAATAAAGAAACAATATGATTAGCTCGATCATCTACCAAAGGCTAAGTAGGATCGGCAGATCCATTCGGAAAATAAGACCTTGATCTACTCACGTAAATGTAGGATGTAGGCGCAAGCGTGTAGGGATGGTCAGGGTATAAGTATCGCCGATGCGATTTGAGGCCGTAAAGGTCCAAATAATCGTGGCAATAGCTTTTTGTTTTCCAATTTGGACACTACATTTTCTGGCAGATTTGTCGTGCTAAGATGGACAGTATTTTTAACCTTATACACGTTCGTGTCTTCTCTTTGCTCGTACCTACTTGTCCTTCTTGCAGATTCTGAACATTTGTAATTGAATCCCAAAAGAAGTGTACGACAATTTATTTCTTCAATTTCAAACATCGACTTGCTGTTCCTCGCGACGTGTCATGTCGTTTTGATGTCTCATTCAGTCAAGACTAGCTCTTTGTTCTGTGACAGCATTCATATCAGACTGTGGCCCCGTAGCATTGCGCAAACCCGTAACGGCTAGCATTACGCAAGGCGTTACATAAATTTTCATCATGAATGTTAGTAAAACGTATGTTATTCTGGTACACCTTCACCACCACCGTGAGGATGATCAACAGGGTTTTTTGCTACTCCACGTAGTAAAAGTTAAAGATATTTAAAAAAAAAACAACACGCTTTAGTTACTGACTACTTGAGGGGCTCATGGAAGGGGCTACCGGTGCGCATGTTATCTAACGCGGACCCTGAGAGTGTGTGTACGGGGCGCGCTGCAGTTGGGACGTCGCACAATTTACATAAGGGAAGCTCCGACTTGAGAAACCTGTCTTTACAAACGTACAGAAGTGTAGTTTGTACGCAAAAAAAACCAGGAGCGGAACTGAGAGTCTTTCACGTGATAAGATAACAGCAAATTATGCTATATCAAAAGTGAGACATATACATGATTAACTTGACTGATACTAAATATAAGCTTTGCCACATCTGAAATGAAAGTGACTTCATAATTTGTACGGTGGCTACAACCACGTATACCACGGATCTCTATTTTAAATCCAATGCTTCGGGAATATGACTACTCAAAATAACACAGAATTTTTTTGCGAAAATCGGGCAATTGTTCGATATTGGACATGATATAATTGGAAGATGCTGTTATACATGAGTGTCGTCTACCTTCACGCTGTCGAAAATAGCATGAAAGCAAACAGTTGAAAGAAAGGTGCAAGTACAAAATAGTACAGCACATACCCTATTACACCTTGCCACCAAGCATGTGAACTACATTTAAGCTCTTACTTCTTGCGCTTTTCTAAGACATTGTGCAAATTGTGCGCTCATCGAACAGCTGCTGCACTTGAAGTCAAACTTCAATCTACATACATCGAAACGCTTTCTTCTCAAGGCTTCCTTGCTCCTTCTTTTTTTACGCTATACCAAATGCTTAAGGTGACGCAGTACTCGCAATCATTGCTCTCAAAGCAATTTACCAATGTGTTTCGGATACCTACCGTTTTGCCGTGCCTCGGAAAAATAACCCCTTCGGTTGGAGGTAGGAAAGAGAAACACAGAGCCCTTAGAACTACACCGGTTACTCCAATCGATAGTAAACGACCGTTTTTGTCAGCTACCAATGGTGCTTCATTGCTCTGCACGATGAGCCAGTCATACGGTAGTGGTACTCTTACACCGTGACAAGGACTAGTCATGCGTCTTAATTTCTGGCACAGCTCTTCTGCTCCCGACTTTAGTCACACATCAACCCCAACAGCTTAAAAGACTGTGACATCCAGCCTTTTCATTCTCTACTGGTCCTACAAATTTGAGAACTTTCCTTTACTAATCCACCATTGTTGATTCTGAAGACGACATAAAATCGTTCTTTCCCGTCATAACAGAGGCTCCTCTGGTGACCGAGATAAATCTATGTCTCATCCTGACACTGCGGCTAAATGCCGCTTTTGTCGTCTGAGGTCTACTCGCTGCACTTACTAATACTATTGCTATCAAATTTGGACAATCAAGAGTGTTGCAAGGAAACTATAGTAGCTCTATGGTTGCCTCAAAAGCGCTCCATTTGTGTCATAGGTATAATTAGAAAAATACTAGGAGAGAAGCGCGCGACACCTGATATTTTATACTTCGTTCGATTAATGACTCGTGACGATTCAGCTACGTCTTAATTAGGATGAAATCATTTTTATTCCAGGACGAGAGGACGTTCCACGCTATTATAGTTCTTGACTATATTAAATGATTAAACTTAAATACTTAAACCATAATCTCCGTCGCAATGCGCACGGATTTCGTATCCGTATTTGGCATCTTTATTGAAGCCTCCATGTACTTTCATTTGATTTCAACACACAAGCTTCGTACGTATTTGCACGACACTCTTAAGGCAATCAGCCCTTTTCTCGGCTACACAAAGCCGTGCACAGCAATGTTGATTGCCAGCAATCATGGAGAGTGCGCGCCATCTCTACCATTGAGAGCAATACTTTTCTGGGGCTGAGTTTCATTGATCACGATCTCCACGAATCAATTTAGAACCCACATGAGTTCCGGTAGGTTGCCCTGCAGCTAGTGCGGCTTGACAAAAAACTCATCAAACGACCTTGCGTGAGAGCTGGCTCCCCGAGGATGAAGGGGGCTCCAAAGGAGCAAAAAAGTTGGGAAGCAACAAATCAGACATCTTGATGTACTGTGGAACTGGCCGGCAGCTCAGAGCGCTTGCAGTCCATCATCAACTCTGACCAATTATAGAGCTTCCACTCCCAGTTACCTCATATCGCTTCCGCCAAGCACATGTGGTTACGATTCTTAGCTACCTATAACAACCCTATTCGCCATTACGGCACCGCATCAAATGGAGTATCATCCGCTCCTTCTAAACAGTAAAGTTGCTGTAGACGGTTCGCGAGCCGTACCCGTTTAGACAACTTTGCGTGGTT